ATAGAAGGTTGAGTCAAAATTCTGAGTACCAACTTTGATATGGATGTCCACCTCCCTGTGCACCATTCTTTTAGAACCATCGAAAACCCTCGCCACAATATTATTGGGCTTCAATGTGAGTCCTTCGCAATCTAACATGTCCAGAGCATTCTTGGGCAAGACATTCAACGAAGAACCTGTATCCACCAAAACATGGGCTACTGTAGTGCCCCTACACTCAATGGATACATGCACGACATCATTATGTTTCCTTCCCTTGGGAGTTAAATCAGCATCGGAAAAACTCAGTCCATTATCATCAGTCATGCTGGCTACACAATTCTCGAATTGATCAGCGGAGGTCTCTTGAGGCACATGGGCAGACTTCAGGAATTTTACTAAAGCCTTAGCATGGGCTTAAGAGCACAAAAGTAAGACCAGCATTGAGATTTTTGAAGGGGTTTACCCCAATTTCTCCATGACATTATAATCACTCTTCTTTATTATTTTCAATATTTATTCCATTTCTTTTTTGGAAGCCTCAAAAATGACTTCTTGGTGTGCCTTCGTCTGGACAGGCTCAACCAATACCTCTTTGACCCGAGTCTCGGCCAACTTGGTAGCAGAGATAACAATAGGAGTAGCAATGGGAGTACTGACAGGAGCAGCAACAAGAATAATCACAGTAATAGCAACAACCTTTGGGGACATCTCGGGAGAGAAAACTCTTATGCTTCTCTTAATTTTACTAGTCCCGACGATGTTGTCGATGTCAGGATCAATATCTTCAGCAACTTTATCTTTGACAGCCAATAGGTCTTGCTTGACGCCATGGTAATAGACGTTAGCCCCATAATTCCAGGGAACAGCTTTACCAGAGGAATATGGTATTGGCCTCGACAGGGTGATGATCAAGGGAGCAAACTTGGGAACGGATGTAACCTTGACGGGTCTTTTGGTGGAGACCCTGGAAGGATTGTCAGAAGTAGTAATTATCGAGACATATTCATAAAAATTTCTTGTAAGGGGAACTTTTTCAAACAGAAATTCTTTGTTAATTATCAGGCGCTGGACACCTGTTTTCAACAACAAGCAACCATCTAGTAGAGACATACATAAATGGTAACCTTCACCCCAACCCAAAAATAAACTGGCTCACAACATATTCTCTTTAACAGTTAGAAGAGGACTAGCTAACTCATCCACAGAAGAAACAAACTGATCATCATCAACATCATTGACACCTTGGCCATGTTTGGGCATTGGTGCAATTATTACATTAGGTGTCTATGGAAGGTCAAACTCAATCTCCTTCGCCTCAATGATATCTTGTACCTTATTCTTTAAAGACCAACTGTCGTTTGTATCATGCCCCGAAGTTTCAGAATGGTAAGCACATCGAGCATTTGGGTTGTAGCGGGGAGATGCAGTATTGTGATTCTTAGGAGCCTCCTTTAGGGTCACCAGATTGGACTTTAATAGATGTGGTAAAACCTGGGATAAGGTCATGTTGATCCGGGTAAACTGTCTTCTGGGTGCATCTGGTTTGTGCTGATTGTTTCGTTGCTGGTTTGATGCAGGATTGGAAATCATAACAGCCCCTACCGTCGGACGACGTTCAGTTTTGTTGTGATTTCTTTGGCCATAAGCAGCACTGACCTCCTTCTTTCTAGTGAAAGGTTTATTTGATGTGCTGGAGGATGCATCTCTATGGATTTTACCATTTTAAATACCAGCCTCTACCCGCTCACCAGTCAAGATCAATTCAGTAAACCCAGCAGACGAGCTTCCAATCAGATGGTTAAAGAATGGACCAGACAATGTGCCCAAGAACATGTCCAGCAGCTCTCTATCAGAAAACGGAGGTTGGACTCTTCCCGAAAGGTCTCTCCACTTTTGGGAATAATCTTTAAAACCTTCACCGGAACCCATAGACATATTTTGCAATTGTGTACGAGTTGGGGCTAGGTCAGCATTATATTGGTACTTCTTGTAGAAAGAAGCAGCCAGATCTTCCCAATTACGAACGTTGGTTCTTTCCAGTTGATAGAACCATTCCAGCTGAGTCCCTGCCAAACTTTCCTGGAAGAAATGTACCCACAAATTCCTATCAGTAGTGTGGGGTTGAATCTTCCTGACATATGACCTTAAGTGCATCTTAGGACAGGAGACACCATCATACTTAGAAAAGGTGATGATCTTGAATTTCTACGGGATGACCACCCCTGAGATTAGTCCTAGCTCTTCAAAATCTAGCCCAGGCACCCTCTGGATCTCCATAGCATTGAGCCGATCCTCTAGTTGTTTGTACTTATCATCAGCAGGAGGATACTGCTCCTCAGAATAGTCAGCTTTATCTTCCTCAGACCCTGGATTGTTGTTTTCTTCCATTGGTTTCTCTTCTTGATTGTCCCCCTCATTTGACGGGGTTGCAAAATCTAGAGCTCACTCAGTCGGTCCTCTGAACCTTCTACCCAAATTCAAGACACCAGCTGGTTTCTTTGGCTTCTTGGTCTTCTCCTTGATGATCAGAGCTTTCAAATCTTCTTGCCCCTTAGCCAGAGCTATGAACATTTGCTGAAACTAAGCGTTTTGAGCTTGGAGGTCCTTCACTGTTTGTTCAAGAGCCATTTCTTTTGCTAAAATAAACAGCAAAAAGATAAGAAACATGTCTCGAAATACCTGCTTATGCAATGAAATGTATGATATGCTTATGCGATGTTTTCAAGGACTTCGGGATATTTAAATTTGTGAGCCATAATGAAATAAAGATTTTATTAGTAGAATTCAAATTACAATTGCCTCTCAGGCTTACAATTGAAAATCAAAAATTATTAAAATCTAAACATCAGGTTTCCCATGGGCGCTTTCTCTTCGTGCCGAGGTAGACATTAAGACTTTCCTCTTTGTGAAGTTTCTTTGTAAGCTCCCACACTTTCTTCTCACTGGTATGGAATTGATCTCTAAAGGTATCTCGTTCTTCCTTCAGCTGAATCCAAGACCTTTGCAGCTCTTCAAGATTAGTGGGCATATCAGGATGGAGAACTGTATAAGGAACATCCTCTTTGGTGACTGGTTCCATAATCACTGGTAAGATGGCTGTATATGGCATCATAAGATTCTGGGCGCGAGCTCGTACCCATCTAAGATAAGGTTCCATAGGGATGAAATTCTTGTGTCCCAACGTCTTGCTATCTGTCATACCCCAAATTTTGACCTAAGATACCACCTCCCATCTGCATTATCACATAGCGAACGTTCACAAGCGATTCGACCTATTTTTGCCATTTTCTCGGGTCAGATTTCAAAAATTCATAACTTCTTCAAATTTCAATATTTTTGAGCGGTTGTTTTTGCACATGATTTTTCTTGACATCATCTACGATTTTTCTTTACAAGTCAAGGGCAAATTATGCATTGAAAAGCCACGAAAAATTGTTGACGATTAGAAGTCGTTTCACGATTTGATTTTAATTTTGGACTATGTTTTTGTCCGATCATACATTTTACACTTTCTCTTCTCTTATTTTTATTTCCTGAAAAATCCTTAAAATAAAATTATTTTTAGTTCATGCCATCTTCATTTTATTTCCATTGTTATTCAAAAAAATAGTCTCTTTAAATTTTATTTAGATTTTTTTCTTGTATCATTTAAGCCAAAATTATAATTTTTTTAGTTTTAATTTAGTAAAAAAAATCTAAAAAAAAATATGTATTTTAGTTCATGTCATTTTTTTTTTACAAACGCATTATTGGAAAAATCACAAAAATATTTATAAGTAGCATTATAGTATTTTAAATTCGCAATTCTTAATACAAAAAAATATAAAAATTAATATAGTTTTATTGGTTCCATTTAGATTCATGTTCTAGTATAAAATTTTAATCCAAAGAAAATCTCAAAAATGTAGTTAATATCTTTTTTCCTTTACTTTACATTTTTTTTGATTATTTTTAGTCATTATAGTTTTAGTTTCTTTTAATCCAATATTGATTTTGATTTGATTCTAATTTTAATTCAATTTTAAAACTGAATTAATATTAAAATTAAAATTAAATTAATTTTATTTGTATCTTATTTTTATTATTATTATTATTATTATTATTATTATTATTATTCTATTTTTGTATTACTAACAAATTACCTTTTATCATTATTATTACTATTGCCTTTGTTTATTTATTTTTATGTCCAATAAAATTGTGGTCCCAAAACCATATTTTTGAACATGGAAAACCAATCCTTATTGTTTGCTACACTCCAAAGCCTGCTGCAAAAAAAAAAAACAGTGTTGCTGCCCTGCAATGTATCAGTCCAGAAATTTCACTAAATTAGAAAAATAGAAAACTTGTAACAAAAAGTCACAAATCAGAGTATTAAATCTGTTCAAAGACTCATCATTTTTCCCTCTGATTCTATCATACCTTCAATATAAAAAACACAAACCTCTTGTCTAAAAAAAAAGGAGAAAAAAAAGGAAAAACGACTACTGCCATTACTTTCCTCCAAATTGCAACCTTCGCCAAATCTCATAACCTTTGAACCTTGTTAATCTTTACTGCATCTGGGTTTGCAACTCACAAATATTCAATACAAAACCTTCCTCTAACTTCCATTTTAGCACTAAACCCTTTATTCTAAGAGGGTCATTCAACCTATAATCAGCATCAAGAAAATCCAACCTGCGTATTCAACAACAACAACAGTTCACGGCTTTCACAAAAAAAAGGGGAAAGAGATTCAAGTTCACCTGAGTGAAAACCTTTGTTGGAACTGTAAATCATCGAACTAGCTCCGACCATGTGAGTCTCCTTCTTTCCTTGCTAATTATTGTTGTATACACATTGATGTTGTTGTTATTGCTTTGTTACTATGATTCTATGTCCCTTTTTTTCTGTTTGTTATGTTTTAAAAGCATCATGACCGCGAGAGAGTTTGAACGTCAATGCAGAATATAAGAATAGAGGTAGAAGTCAGTGTTGTTGTTAGTTTGAGCATAACCAAAAGAAAAAGATGAAAACTAACAAATCTCTGCAGTCTCTCCCTTGAGCATTGTTGTCTGACTTGCAATGCCAAGTTTTATCAGGTCTTTGTCTGGATCAAAATCCTTAGGAACTGCAAATGTAAATTTCTGCACACAAAAATAAAATGGTCACGACTTATCAGCACCTCAAAACCACAAAACTCACTATCTCTCTCCATTCATTATTCTGCATAAACTTATATTATACACCAACCTGCATACAACCTCCCTGCAATAACAAAACAAACAAACCCTTAACCCTTTGCAAAACCCAAATTCACTGTCACCTTCATCTACCTGTCTGAACTATTCCCCTCATGCTCCATCGTGTACCTGAAACAAAGAGACACACATAAAAAACACATAGGTTTAAAACCTTGTAAAAACAAAACATTAACTTTACTTCAATTTCAATCTGTAATTAACCTTCAGCAGCTTGTGGATCTGACCTAAACTATGAGCAACAAACTTTCCTTTCTTCCTCAACAAATCGTAACCTTAATGAGATCTCTCCGCCGTCATCTTCAGGCTTTAATTCGCCGTGACTGCTTCTTCAACGTCAACTTCAGATTGTCGTCTCCGCTTCCAAGATTCGGTTCCGCCCTTCGATTTTGATGAAGTTCCGTCCTTCAATCGCTACCTCGCGATTCTGTCTTCGATTTGTTTCAATCGTCGCTTCTAATTCGGCCTCCATTCGTGACTTCCACCGATCATCTTCAAATGTCGATCCAGTCATCTTCATAGCATTTTCATCTTTGATTCGGTTTCTTCGTCTTTGTTCTCTCTCTAAACAGCATGGCTCCATCTCACTACAACGTCGTTACCTTTACATGCATCGTAGGCACTCGACTGTTTCAGCTTTGGATTCATTATCTTCTTCGCATATTTCGTCACCTCGACATCACCGTATCAGGTCCATTTCAACACTATCAACCTAAGCTTAATCCTAGTGAAGTTAATACTCAGACAACGATTCGGTCCAAGAACACGCAACAATATAACTAACACAGAGAGAAGGAGGAAATACAGAGGAAAGAGGTTTGTTTGGGTCTCGATGGTGTTTCGAGATGAAACAAAAATGATTGGGGGTTGAGAGATGAGAATTTGAGAGGTTTTGTTATAGTTATGAGAAATCGTAAGAACAGAGGAAAATAAAATGAAGCGGTTAAGTGAGAAAGAGAGTGAGGCGAGCGGCCATCTTCAATGTTGCTAGGGTTTTGTTTTTTTTAATGTTACCATTTGGGCCTCAATCATCAACCTGAGCCCGATACACATAGATCCAGCAAAATCCACCTTTTTTTTGTTTGTTTTAATTTCAACAAGAAAAACAATAGATTAGTTTAAGCCTTCAATCTAGGCCTGGTCCGCCCAGATCAGTATCCCATCAGACCATCCACCATTTCTCAAATAACGCACCCCTGTTCTTTTTATTTATTTATTTTTGTTAGACAATAAAAAACCAGTATGGGCCTTAGGCCCAGCGAATTTTAATACCCACACCCTAATTTTATATTTCTCACCTTTTTTATAATTAATCTAGTTTAGATCTAATTCAGTAACTTTAGAATGTTAATTTATTTTAGATTTAATTTATTAACTTTAGAATTTTAAGTTAGTAATTTTATAATTTTAATTTAGTTTTAGTTATTAACTTTAAAAATCTTGTTTAGTTTAGTTAGAAACTTTAGAATTTAAGTTTAGTTTACTTAGTAACCTTAGAATTTCAAAATTAGTTTAGACAACCCTCTAATTACATTTTCCTTTTATTCATGATTCTTTTTTTGTACGTTTATTTAGTTTCTTATAGTTTATCTTGTCACTATTCTCCTTGTTTGTTTCTTTTGGATTTTTAATTACTTATATATGATTCTTGCTCGATTACTAGACCTACTTGCTTGTGATCAACTCCAAGGGAAAGAATTAAATTTATTGACTTCATGTCATCAAATATATCTTACAAGATCGAGCGAATACCCCCATTCATTAAAAACATAGGATAATTTTCCCAAATACCCAATTTTCTTCGAAAAAAACTCACACCTTTTAAGTCAAAACTTCGATATTAGGTCTTCGTATCTTCAAAAAAACTCGTCCATACCCATTTTCGGCCAAAACAATTTATTTTTAATCAAACAAACATTTTAACAAACAGATATTTCAAAAGGTTCCTATAGAATACTATAGATACATTGGGTGCTAATACCTTCCCATTGTATAACCAACCCCCGAACCATAGACCTCTTTTCAAAAACGCCTTGTATTTTCATTACTTTTAAAAGTATTATTTTACATTGCATATTTTAGGGTTTTATTTTGCTCTTTCCCCTTTTCCCTTGGAAATAATAAAGCGCGGTGGCGACTCTTGCTTTTGTGAGATGAATTAATTAATAATTCGATCTCCGATTTACCCCGCTACATTTTTTATCGCTACAGAAATGGCGACTCTGCTGGGGAAAGATTGACCTCTTGCTGGTCCATCCCTAAGTGGGTTAAGCCTAGTTTGTTTTATCTGTTTTATTATTATTTGATTTGTTTGATTATGTGTTTAAATTGGGGTTGTTTGGGTTTTTTACAAAGGACGAATCCTATACCCGGATTGAGTTACACTTAAGAATAGGACGGGCGGTATAGTCATGTTAACTTTGAGGGAGTAATCCCAAAGAAGGAGGCATGAAATCCCCCACTCAGTGGAAGGCCCTTTTGAATGTAATATTTTTTTACCGAGTAATTGGGAAGACATTATTATTTTCGACCTGGGAGCCAGAGAAGCTGAGAACCGTAGAGCCCTAACCCAACTTGGCCTTTTAGGTGTAGCGCAGAAATTATAATGGAGTAATCCGGAAGTAATTGTTACGCGATGCTATGCTCGGATGAGTTTCTCTTGAGAATATTGCTAATTATTGAGTAATCAAGACGTTGGTAATATCCGAAGGAGGAATGTAGACTTTGGGAACTCTTAGAACCTTGTCTTACAGGTGTGATTAAACCGTTAGTACATACCTTGGGGTGGGCTTTACCCTTGACTCCATGCTCGAAACGTTGAACCTTTGAACCCCATATTTGCGAACTTGTGTGTAACTGTTGCATTATCATTCATCCATACATCCATAAACATTCTTTGTAAAAAAAAAACTTGTTTTTCAAGGAACTTAAGAATGATTTTTGCAGACATCTCAGGTACTATTATTATGGAATTTGGAAGGAGAAACACTCGAAGTTTTAGTTTTAAGGAGCCCGAGATTGAAGAACTGAAGAGTTTAATTCCTAAGATCAAGAACCCGACGGATTTTCAGAAAAAGTATGGGTCCATTATACCTCTCATGAAGCGCAAGATGAAAGAAGGCATCCTTGGTACATTGGTCCAATTTTACGATCCTTTGTACCGATGTTTCACCTTTCTGGATTACCAGTTAATGCCCACCTTAGAAGAGTACTCCTACATACTTGGTTTGCCGATCACCGACTATGTTCCTTTTTCTGGCTTAGAAGAGGAACCCAAATCTCACGAGATAGCAACCATCACCCACTTGAAGAAGTCAGAGATAGAGGAGAACATGACTACAAAAGGGGGAATCCGAGGCTTGTCTGCGCAGTTTTTGTTGAGGAAAGCTCGTCATTTCGCTGAGATAAAAGATACTATTGCCTTTGAAGACGTCTTTGCTCTACTCGCTTATGGTCTATTCTTGTTCCCTAACATTGATAAGTTTGTGGATATCAATGCCATCAGAATTTTCTTGATTGGAAATCCGGTCCCTACGCTGCTAGGAGATACCTACTACTCCATCCATCTTCGAAACTCTTATCAAGGAGGGATGATTATTTGTTGTGCACAGTTGCTGTATCAGTGGTATGTTTCTCATCTACCTAGGTCTGATGTTTTCTGGGATCTCGAGAAGGAGCCGCGATGGGCGCCAAAAATTATGGCTCTCACTCATTTCGACATTGATTGGTATAATCGAGCTTACTATGACGTGAAGATCATCGATAGCTGTGGTGCTTTTCCTAACGTGCCCCTTCTTGGTACGAAAGGAGGAATTAACTATAATCCCGTTCTCGCGCGCCGTCAGTTTGGATACCCGATGAGGGACAAGCCAAACAACATCCATGTGAGTGGTTTCTTTCTACAAGAAGGACAAGATCACCAGGCAGCTAAGAGGGAGATCGAAGGAGCTTGGCGCCATATCCATAGGAAAGGGAGAGACATGTTAGGACATAGGGGTGCAGTTTCTTTGGAGCCTTACCTACATTGGGTCCGTGCTAGGGCTTGTGCTCTCAAGATGCCCTATAAACCTGAGAAACCTTTATTCCCTACCGTTGCATCATCATCTGTTGATATCCCTATCGGGAATATGGGAGAATACCAAGGAAATTTGGCTAGGATGAAGTCTGAGAGAGATGCTTGGAAAGAAAAGTATAATATGTTTGAATATGAGAATCGGGTCCTGGCTCGACAACTAAAGGAAAAGGAGGATTTGCTATTTATTCAAGACGGCTGGTTCATTGATCACGATGAGAAGCTTCGTCAAAAGGATGCTTTACTGAAGAAATATGCAAGTGAAAGGAAGAGAAAGAAGGAAGGTTCGGTAAGCGTTGCTCTCATTCCTAATCCACAAAAGGAAATCATTGATCGACTGGTAGCTGAGAAGAAAGAGATGGAAGAATTTTATGAAGAGAAGATCAGGAAGCTCCGGTTACAGTTGGCATTTGGTCCTTTATCTGATGATTCTGAGTGATCTTTAGTTCTTAGTTTTATTTTACTAATGTCATTTTGTAAAACTCTGTAAAAGGGCTTCATATTCCGAAGTTGTAATTTACTGCTTTTATTATGGGCTTCATGTTCCGAAGTTGTAATTTACTGATTTTATTATGGGCTTCATGTTCCGAAGTTGTAATTTACTGCTTTTATTATGGGCTTCATGTTCCAAAGTTGTAATTTACTGCTTTATTATGGGCTTCATGTTCCAAAGTTGTAGATTACCGCTTTTATTATTGGGTTGTTATCCCAAAGTGTAATTTATTGTTTTGTTGTTCCAAAGTTGTAAGTTGTAATTTACCGTTTTTGATTAATGAAATGAGTTTTTGTTGTTCCAAATTCCTTTACCATTGATGTGTGCAAAATTATTGAAGTTCCTTGAAAAAACTATCAAAATGAATTATCATTTGCATCACATATCATGCATCATCCAACATTCCACTTCACATGTTTTCTAGAGTCTTATCCTTGTTTCTTTTTCCACTCCGATAGATTGTCAAGCTGTCTCATCGATACAATACCCGAGCCAATCGTCAGAGGAAAATGGAAGATCTGGAACAGGAAAACCACGAGCTTCGTGAGGAGGTCGCTACCCTTCGTGTCGGGATGGAAAAGTTAACTGCGCTAGTGGAAAGTTTGATGGCTGCTCAGAATCAGCCATCGACTACAGCTGCTGAGATTCAGACTTCAACTACTGTGGTTTCCGAGATTGTCACCGTTCCAACATCTGTGACTCAAATCAACTCTCCGCTTCAACATCAGATGCCAAAAGGTTTTCCGTGGGGAATGCCTTACAACTTTGTGCCAGAGGGGTATCAGTCTGTCGTACAGCCTTTGTTTCAACCTACTATGTCTTTTCCTCAACCAGAGACAACTGCTATGCCGCCGGTAATCCCGTCTGTTGCACCTTTCCCGCAACCAGTGATGACAACTGTCGCTCCTGTGGTTCACTCTATGCCATACTTGAATGAACCTACTTATCCTGCCGAGCCTGCTGAAAGTTTGGGTCTTTTTGATAGAATGGAAGAATTTCAAGACCAATTCCAAGAAAT